GCGGAGGGCGAGAGCAGAGAATGAGCGAGCTCCTCCCCCGCCGGCTGCAAGCGGCTCGGGCGGGTGGTGCGCGCCAGGCCGGCTCCGGAGAAGCCCAGCAACCCAGCTCTCCAGCCAGGTAGGTTCAGCGAGCTTTCTACCAGCTGCAGGCGGTGCGAGCAGGGGATGGTGCTAGCGTGAGCGCCAGAAAGGGACGGGAGACTCGCTGTGACACCACGGGTTTAGGGCTTTATTTTCTGCTTCCAGGGCTTAAGCCATACAGACTTGCATGCCTCCTGAATTGCTTGAACACCTGTTAACTTTTAAAGACAGATGCCTTTGTAAAGGTAATCAAATTAGTTTCACGTCTAATACAATGGTCTCTGCAGAACGTATTATAACATTGAAGACGAGACCGAAAGTTGGAATAATCTTGGATGTATACCTTGTGTCGTTTGGAACTGCAGAACAAGACGTTGGCGATGAATAAGATGTTACGGTAACCCTGGAATCTTGACTGAGTGTCACGCTGATTATTTTATCGCGTAGAACTGATAAAATAGAGTGAAACTCTGATCCTGTTCTCAAGTCTGAGTTAAAATGAAACTGATTCGTGTTGCAACAGGGGAAAGGTGTCTTTTGCTTGCTCCTTCCAGAGTACCTTTTGCTTTCCTCATTAGATCCAGGGCTTCTGTCGTAAATCTACTCCTGATGCTATGCTAACATTCAGATTTCTCGGAATCAGTTCCCCTCGGCCAGCTGGTGCTCTCTCTTTAGGTTTCTACTGAGGTTCCTGTTGTAGTTTCTTACTGCTTGCTGCTCCAGATATCTCATCAAAACCTGGGCTGCAGATCCTGGTAGGAGTATCGGTGTTCTTCTGCTTGGGCACTTCTGGGTGAGAGGTATGAATTACAGGGTAACATATTTAATATTTCTGAAGCAGGGGATGAGGGGTGTCTATGCCCAGAAACAAAATAAATGAACTTTGGGATGACTCAGTTTTTAGGGTGTGGATGAGAGGCGAAAGGAACCCAGCCAGTCCTGAGTCTCTGGCTAATGAAAGTATCTGCTGCAGCTTTCACTGAGAAGAACCTCTTGGTCTGTCGTCCGTGTCATGTCTTATTCTTCCGCGGCTCCCTCCTCTTTACTCTGTTCTCCCTTTTAAACCTTGGCCTTTTCATGGGCAGCAGTCCCTTAAGTACTATGTCTTCCTTTCTTCCTTTCTTTTTGTCCTGGGGATTGAACTCAGAGCTTTCACATTGAGCTACATCCTAGCTCCTTCCTATTTATTTATTTTTTTTTTTATTTTGAGAAAGGGTCTTGCTAAGTTCCTAAATTGCCCAGAGTGGGCTTGAACTTGTGATTCTCCTGTTTCAGCCTCCCAGAGTGCTAGGATTGTAGGAGTAGAGCACCATGCCTGGCCCTTTAAGTATTTTTCAAACTACCTTGAGATGAGAGAGAGAAAAAAGAAATCTGCAGCCAGCTCAGAAAGCTCATTGTATTAGATAATAGACAATTGTATTGTGAAATCCAAAACTATGATTTTATCCAACTCCCGTCCTGCACTTTGATACCTTTGGCTGGCATTTTATTCTTTGCGGGGGGAGGGGGGGTTCAACTTAGAAAAATAGGAAAAGAAAAAAAAAACCCTCTGTTTCAAAAGTAGCCTTTAAGTAACTGAATGTTTTGAAGGGTTAAACAAACACAAGGTGGGCACATATAGTGAATGTGGAGAGGATGTAAAGTAGCAGAATTGGGTTGCTTGGCTTTGTGTTTAAAACACATAGAAAAGTAAAACTCCACCAAAGAACCCCCCAAACCTATCACCCCAGATAACTTGCTCTTGCACTACTGTGCTGGGAGGAAGGCTCGAGGGTGGTCAGATACCATCCATTTACCCAGAGTTTTACAAATATTTACAGTCCTCTGTGCCAAATATCTTTGTGCTGAGCCCTGAAGAACATTCGGAGCATTCAAAAGCCCCATTCTCATGAATGGTTTCAGTTCAGTGGCAACGTAAAGGCATCCAGGTTTCCAAAGTAGGTCAGTTTAAGACACGTCTTTTAAAAATAATCAGTTTTCGTATCTCAGATTATGAGCTAGGTTTTTGCAGCCAAAGTCTACAGTAAGAAGAAAAGTATGCTTTCTCTAGGAAGAAAAAAAAGTTTATTTTATCAGCCTAGTAAGACTAGCTTCCTGGAAGATACCTTTCTCTTCAAAGGGGTGAATACTTTTAATCTTGGAAAGTGTCTTTAGAATTCCCCTTGGGAAAAGTTGTTGCAACATTTTAGATGTTTAGAAACATCTGTATGAGTGCCGGAATCGTTTCTCTGAAGTGTTGCTGCTAATTGTGGCTTCTGGCTCTCCTGGCCTTGACCTGACATTACGTTCTTGTTGAGTAAGGTTCGCAGTGTTTGGTATCTCCAGTTTGAGGTAGAGGTCAGGAATCATGCTGCACCCAGATGTTGGTGGATGAACAAAGTCCGGACAGTTTTGGGACCAAAGCTACTTTGTGCAGCTGATTATTTTGGATGTGGGATTGGGGCCAAGCTGCCACACAAGTTATGCATTCCTCTTTAGGAAGTAGGTATCTGCGGCAGTGGCTCCTGAGTCCTGAGACATTTCTTTCAGGGATTTCTACCTTAATGTAGAAAAGCTTCTTTCCCAAATTATCCATATTTTTAGCTTTTGAATTGTTTGGAGGGAATACAGATGAGCGTGTCCAAGCCTTTAATATTTTCTCTGTCCCATGTGCAATGAGTATAATTATCCATGATAGTGTCGGGAGACTACTATTTGCCAGGCACTATGGTAGATGCTTGGGATATAAAGATGCATAAGACCTGGGCTCTGTCCTGAAGAAGTCTTAGAAGTGACTTTGGACTAGGGTGGGGAATCTTTAATTCGTGCTGTTTTACCGGCATATGAAAATTCCTTTGATTTTTTTTTTTTTTTTTTGATGTTTTCATCTTGATTGTGTGTTTCGTGTGTGTGTGTGTGTGTGTGTGTGTGTGTGTGTGTGTGTGTAGTGTTTCTCTGATATCACTTGCTTCTTCAGTAACTTGAAAAGGTATAACAGTTTCTAAGTTAACTTGTTTTAAGTGTTTTAATATATTTTTTCATTTTCATGGCTAACATTTTATTGTTATTGATTTTGGTATTTGATATTTGCTTGGTCTATGTGTGCCCAATCCACTGGGTCATACTATACATTGTTAGAAATGGGAAAACTGTACATTGCAAACAGTGAAAGTGACCAATGCTTTTGCAGTGTGGAGTGAGGAATTTCTTAACAACTGGGTCTCTTTTCTTGGAGTGAAAACACAACCTAAGGGAAATACACTTCTCTTGTTCCTAGCTGGAGAATCTTCTGATCACATGACCTGTAGTAGCAATTAAAAGCATATGTATATATAATTTTTTTTTTTGTCTTTTTGAGACAGGGTCTCACTGTGCAGTTCAGGCTGGACTTGAGCTCATTTTGTAGCCCAGGCTGGTCTCGAACTTGCAGTGATCCTCCTGCCTCAGCCTCCTGAGTGCTGGGATTATAAAAGCATATTTTGAAAGCCATATCTCCTGTTTTCTAGTTTCTCTGAGGTCAGAAGCTGAAGTCCTATCCCTTAGTCAGCTGGCTTTTTGTTTTTCTTGGGAAGACGAGGCAAGATAACTCATTTCTCCCTTTGATGGACTTGTGGCTGAAACTATAAACTCATAAATTCTCTTGCTTATGCCTGTATGAAATCATCTGTTGACAACCTCCTCAACTAGTTTCGTTCTTATAAGCACGGGCTTAGTTTAATCACCTTTATTGTGGAATTTTCTTTGTGCATTGGCTCTGTTTTCTGCATTATGGGTTCCTGTTATTAGAAACTTATTTGGCTGAAATGTACAAAAACACACACCCTGAACCTTGCTTGGTGTGGGAGGGAGGACAGTACTATACTGGTTTTAAATTTGGCTCTAATTAAAAATTCTATATGAAGCTTTTAACATTTGCAGGAGGGGTAACATTTACACACACTTGTATTCATTTGGAGAAAAAATTTTGATGTAGATATTGATGCTCTAGAGACTATAGTTTCCTGGTAGTGTCCCGGCCTGGGGAGTCAGCCTGCATCTTGCCGTTCGGGGCTTTCTGAAACATCACTTCTTCGTCTGTTAATTACATCATCGTCTGACCTGCCTGTAAATGGTGTTCCTTCCTGCTTCTGAGCTTTATTGTTATGCCAGTCAAGGGGAAGAAAATTGTTCAGCATGCCTGTATGAATAACTGTGGGTGGAGGGCGAACCATTCATTAGAACAGAGAGGCAGGGCAAGTGGTGGTGTTGAGGAGGGGGCTACCAGGATGCATGTAAAATTACAGTGCCTCAAATGTTGAGCTGTTAGTCTCTTATTCACTCCTATGGTTTTGATAAGTTTATATTGTTTGGAAATCTGCAAATGGATTTCTACCTCTTGGGTCTTACACTATAATGAGAATGTGGAAAGAAGACAAGAGAAGAGAATGGTGCTCCTTAGGAAAACAAATGGCATTTTACAGATATTAAAACTCAGTGTCCTAAGGGCTGGGGATATAGCTCAGTGGCACAAGCGCCTGCTTGGCAAGTGCAAGGTCCTGAGTTCGATTCCCGGTACCAAAAAAAAAAAAAACTACTTGACATCCAGATGTCCCATACTCTGGAGGGTTAGGCTGAGTTTCACAGTGTCATTGTTTCCCCATCAATATGTTATAGAAAGCAAATTTTCAACTAGATAGCATTAAAATACATGACTTTAATCATAACCTAATTTTAAATAGCAAAGAAAACAGTCTTTGCTAATATTTACGATGCTTCTTTCTAATGCAGTATCTGTCCTTTCCATCCACAAAGATGGGTCATAGGCTAAGAGAGGTCCTGTACATGTACCAAATACCCACAATGAATGTAAATGTTACGTGTCATAAACATGAACTAAAAAATAATAACAACAATAATGAAAATGGGGACAGGAGATGTAGAGGTGGAAGGAAGGAGTTGAGTGGGGAAGGCGAGGGGAATAAAAAAGAATCAGGATGTGTTATGTACATGTAGCTACTTCCTACAATGAACGTAACTTCATGTACTGCATGTATAATAAAATAAAACTTAAAAAATGGGTCATAAGGATGCACTGCATGGTGCTATTTTGGCCAGTGCCAGATCACATATGTGCAATCCCTTAGGAAAACAAATGGCATTTTGCAGATGTTAAAGCTTGATGTCCTAAGGGCGGGGAATATAGCTCAGCAGCACAAGCACCTGCTTGGCAAGTGCAAGATTATAATGGAGCTGAAAAATGATTACCTGGCGATGTCAGAGTTGGTAG